TCAAGGAAGGACAAGATTTAAGGCGTGGTACATGATCGAGCGGCGAATATTGACTAACCACAACCCACCCAGGAAACGTCGTCACAGGAGTTCTCCAAAGGGACCCCCAATAGATGGAAAATACGCCGAAAATGGCTACGATAACGAGGAAACACCCTCCGATGAGAGCTTTGAGATAAGCTTTTCGTGCGACTGCCTCAGATCCATCGAAAAAGTGAGCAGAGAATGGGACGGGTTGAGGTGACGCAAGATCCTTCCCTACAATTGAATTAGGAGATGCTGTTGGAGATGAAGATGGCACGCGCTTCTCCGAAGGGCGAGGTACAGATTTAAGGGAATGTACAGACGAATGAGCAGTCGCTTGGTCCGACATCCGTGGGTGTATCGGAATTCCGTCGCACTACAAGTCTGAGGGTCGTTTGGGAGAAAGTTGTAGGTGCATGAAAATAGTGTCCGCCTCCACTCCGTTTGAAAAAATAATTATTCAGCTCGTCTACGAGCGATGGCTTTGAGACATCCGGTAATTCAGTTGTCAGCCCCCGTATGACGAGGACCTTGCACATGATCGGTTTCCGGGCTAGAATTTAGCCGCTAAATTTCCTTGGAGACATCCACTTTAGCTTCTATAAACTCTAATTCAGGCAGCGAAGTGTTGTAGATGTCGAGTATGTGAAATTCCCGCGAGGTCAATGTTATCAACATCTTAAGAGTGATTCATCGATGTACACCAGCAAATTGTGCTTCCAGAGCCTCGACCGAAGGATGTTTCACTACGGGTAAACGTTTTTAATGCGGAACGACCTTAACAATTTCTTGAAAATCAAGGAATTGAATTAAAATAATAAATTTAGTTACCACCAACTATATCTTCATATCTCAAAAGAGTAGCGAGCCACCAAAACCAAGGGTATTTTGCCAGGCGTTGGCCAGAAAGCAATTAGCCATTAACAAGTATGGGTGTCGAAAAATAAGATTCAAGTCTATTGCCGAAGGGATTTTTCTCCAGACTCGATGACATCGACCTTCAGTACGCCCAACTCAGAAATTCTTCACGTACGTAGATTGGAAAGTCTAAAACCACGACATGGTATTGCGAATTTGACCAGAAAAGGATCACCCTTGTGAGTACCCACAAGCACTACCCAGAATGCAACGAAATGAATACTGGACAGTTGTTTAAAACTCGAAACTCAACAGCGTTGGTTGAGGTCAACCTTGGTTGTTCGGCTCTGACTGTAGCCGGCAATTAGTAATAAGAACACGTGACTGTTCATATTTCACGTTCCACAATCCGTCCCTTGGCAATATTAATTGTAATTTCCTTCTTTCAATGCTCATCAGAGACAATTCTGAAGGTAAAAACATGTTTTGAGTTCGGATTTATTCGACGAGATATTTCATCCTGGAAAAAGTGTGGGAAACCCCTCGCAATAACTTACTATACGGTAAGTTTCGACGGCATTCAGTTATCTCTCTCGCTGACGATTGTACTTATTTGTTATATGAATATTGTTACTATTAACATATCATGATAATATCCCTGTATTTTTTTTATATAGCATAACATGACCCTCGCAAAATGGTAGTACAGTGCGCCTTATATAAACTTTGGAAAATACACCCACACCCACGCACGAAAAAGCCTCCACAAGTTACCGTCTTGTGGGGGCCATTGCAAGCATGCATGGCATGTCCGAGTTCGAAAAAAATTATATTAAATATAGTTTTGATAAGCTGATTGATAGGGCTGCTTGTCGCCACCCTTTGGGTGGCTCCTCGCACCCTCAATCAGGTAAAATATGTCCGAAAAAAGTAAATAGATAGGAAAGCAGCAGAAGACAATGCAAACCCGGCTCCGGTACCTCCGATACCCGAAAGTTTTCTCGGTGATCGCCGCAACGTTGGCGCGAAGAAATTCCCACACTATGGTCAATCCAGACAGACCTCCTTCTCAATACTTCGAACTCGGAATGGGCCAAAAGCCTGAAGCCTGGCAGCCAAGCTCTGAACCTACTTGGTTTGACGTCGCTCAGTGTTGTACTCTCTCAATACATACACAAACCGAACATAGTCATCTGCGCGCACGGGAGTGCCTTGTACTTCTACCAAACCAAGCAGATTCTCATTTGCGCCCTCACCGCTGGATACCATTTGGAGACGTTCTTCGGATAGGATGAGGGAACAATTCAGCGGGGCCTCACTCTCACCGAGATCATATTGAATGATCACCCTACGCCACTCCATTTCGTTCCTTCCGCTGGCGACTCATTGAGGCTTCATTACAACGGAATTTCTAATCTTTACCTTGTATTTCTGAACTACATTATCTCGCTAGGTATAAAAGTCCGGGGATGCGTTGTTTTAAGGCATTTCTAACACACTCCAGCCCTTTTGATAATGTCTTTCACCGGCAGCAACCTTCAGAATGTTTCGTCCAAGATGTACGCTGACGTTCTCGGTCATGGCTTTGCCCCAGGGACGCCCATTATCATATATCCCTTAAATGAAGCACCGTCTGGGACAATGAACCAACAGGCTCGTCGTACTCTCCGCTCTTTATCCAATGTTATCTTAGTCTTCTGTCCAGTGGAGGATTGTTCCCATGCCCTCTGGCAAAAATCTTTTTACGATTCAAAGTGTTTTAACTGGTCTATATGCCGTCGTTGATGGGCGTCCTGATGTTGTTCATATTATTTTATCTATCATGGGGGCATCGCTTATATATTTCTGGTAGAACCAGGGGATAGTCACTGGCGTTGTTGCCATGCCATGGGAGATCAATACCATTGGTGGCCCCACAAGCCATAGTGTCACGTTTGTCCTTCGTTTCAAAATTGAACGTATAATCGATTAACTATATAAACCACAGTATCAGTGTCCCCAATAGTGATCTCTTTTGGAATGTTCCATCTGACGTGCTCCTCACAAAGGCTCGTCTATATTCTATTGTGACGCAAATGCGCTTAGTCTCACCACGAGTATAGATAATTCTTTCCAAGCAGAATAATGGTGCCAGCCAAATGTGGACCCCAAAGGCCACATTACCCTCCCTCTAAACGCCTTAGGCGTAAGATATGAGCACGAATAATATATCAGTAGTACATACACGAACGCTACTCCCAACTTTGTAATTTGTCATTGACTTTACTTTTGCCCTGAAATATGAATGAAAAACGGTGACATCAATAGGATTGTAAAGCTTCAAACTTGGGATAATTAAGAATAAAAGTGGTCCAATGAATAGAACTTTGAATTTCCCCGAGGACTTACTGCTCCTAATCCCCTGACTCTCGAGGCCTGTCGAGTCCGATCGAACAATATTATTAAATGAACAAAGTCTTGAGATTAGGAAGTAAAATCCCTTCACGTATGGCAACGCGCGTAGCTTCCGAAATTTGTCCACCTGGAGCGGCTAATTCAATAATGCACGGCATATATCTAATGAGTCGTTCCATACCATCCTCGGATATCATGCAAAGAGAAGTAACCAAAGTCTCCAGATTGGGTGATTGACGAACGAAATGACAGAGTTCATCTTCTGGCAAGGAATTCGCAGGGTATTCGGAACTGAAAATCAGTTCCTGTAATGCCGGACAAACCAAACAAGTCAAGAATGTGCCGAAACCAGCAGTTGAGTGGGCGACGTAAATCACGAGGGACCGGAGATTTTCCAGGGTATGTATTACGGTATAAGCGGGGAGCACAGTACGCCCCGTCACTGTCGCGCGACAACCAACTAGAGATGGGCACCACCGCAAAATGTCTAGGAGGTGAATAAAGGATAGGTCAAAGCCGTGTTCAATGGTAAGATTGTTTAGGCGATACCAAGGCAAAGAGGTTGAGTCAAAACCGATCCGCGAAAATGCAAAAGGGCGCCCGTAATGTCCAGAAGCTTTTATGTTCAGTGCTCGAAGACTTTCACTCGTAGAAAACAATGTGATAATTTTTGGAGTCAAATAAGAGTCTTCCACGCTGGAGAGTACCGTGATTGTTAATGAATCTAAGGTTTTGAAAGTGGAGCGAAGTTTCGTAACGGCCAGAAGTCTGTTGAAGTTGATATCCATCAGGACTTTCAACCCTCGAATCATATGCGAGTAGAGATATATGACAACAGTGATTAGTGTCTCCATATCCCTTCCCCCTTTACTAAAGTTGAGGTCCATGCCAGAATCACCTATGCGAGGGATGATTTGATCGAGGGCCTTAGTGCTCTTCGCAGATGTAAACCGCAGGCGTCTCCAGAGATGGGGTTCGGCGTGAGAAACCACCCTCCATCTTGAACAGACCTCCCCCAGGATATATGGTACCTGTCTTTGGTGTCTATCAGGTGGAATATTGAGCTCCTTTCCTTCCATACATAGAACGAAAATCTTTGTTAGGATTTCCGTAGGTAGGTGCTTGTGTGGTGCCAGGGCCGTTCGAAGCTTACATACATGTTCATTCGCCCTCGCACGCTCTCTTCGAAGCCCTTCAACTCCATTGTGTTGGGCTCGTGCGAGTTCAAGATTTTCTTCAACGGATCTGAAGGCGCTCAACGCCTCACATAACATTAGCCTTGCCATCTGCTCCTCCACCCCCGTGTAGATCACATTCGATCTCCCAGCTGTAGACTCAATCTTTTCCCTCAGGCCTGGGAGCTCTGTATCAATGTCAATGACATTCATTCCGAATCTGATTAGGGAAACCTATATATAAGCCTAGGTTGAACGATATAGGTAGGTATAGTTACCTTGAGGTAGATAAGATTTCGCAGCTCGCTTTATAAATGAGTTGACAAGGGTTTCTTGGATAGGATGGGGAATATTGGCATCATCATGAGTGAATGTGAATTTCAAGCACCGCTGATTCACATTTTTTTCCCAAGCTCTGATGTATATAAATTGATTTCACAGATGGACTCTCTTCACAGGAATTGGCAGAGTTTATTTCAACTCGATTCTTTCCAATTGAGTCGATATCAGTGAGCCTGATGAGGGAACAAAGGGCGGATACAACTTCAGGCATTAGTGGGGTAGTGGTAACCTGGGTCGTTGCCATCTTAAGCGGTTTCGACCCGCCGGGAGTTCGATTCTCTCCTAATGCATTTATTTTGATTAGCACATAGATATCACTGAGGATCCTCATGTTTTTTTGCCTCGAAATCACGGTACACAGTACCCGTAGAATACGTAAAATGTCCAAAGAAAGAAGTCCGGTATGCCCATGTCAAGGTCTTTAGAATGTAAAGTCGTGTAAGTCCGTAAAATGCTTCCAGAGGAGTATCATGCTCGTATCAGCCAGCCTGCGGTACGACGGAGTATCGCCCTTGGTTGGGTGGATAGTATGTGTAACCTGGTTGTGGATGATAATCAGTATATCCCATATGTGTTGGGGGTCCTGCCATGGTGTTATACGTGTTAGGGTTAGTCGGGTCCTAGAATGCGTGACCATTGGAGAATAGTTCGAAGTTATTAAGATCGGGTGACATACATAGTATGATCGATTTGGGCCAGGTGAGTGGACCGGCGAGTAGTTTGTTGGATCAGATTGGCCCTGTTGAAGCACGGTTTAGAACACGATACGTTGATAGGAATATAAACGCACATAGTGTGCATTCCCGGTCGGCGGTGGTATATATGGACTGTAGCTGTAATTCGCTTGGGTTGGGTAGTATGGTGTCGAGATAGGCACAGGTCCATAATCGACCTTGGACTGTTGTGGAGGTGGTGCGTTGCAAGCTTGGTTGCGACGGCGACGACGAATATACCAGCCGACCACCGTGCAGATAAATGTGACAACCACGAAGCAGGCGACGATTATTCCGATGGTCACTCCCCCGAGTGCCTTGCGTACCTTTCCCTTTCCTTTCCCACTGGTGCCCGAACCTCCATTTGAACCTGCACCTGCACCCGCACCAGAATCTCCTCCTGCGGTCGCGGTTCCAGTAGGATGAGCCGTTCCTGACGATTCTGGAGGGGCTGTAAGAGGTGAATTATAATCGTACAAGCATCTCTTTTAGGATGGTTACTCACTGGGGCTTTGTTGCGCACGTGTTGGGTCAAATGAGTCGGATCGCTACAAGGCCGCATCGTCAAAACCGATGTGTACTCCAGGATATGGGGACGTACTACTACGTCCTGGTATGCATAAGCTGGAACGGATGTTCCGGCAGGAAGTTCTGTTGGAAAGCTACCCCTTTATAAGCTACAACCATAGTGTCTGCTACATTTGAACTCACAATCCTGGGTACACTGTTGTGCAATTTTCCTTGTACTCTGACCATCTAGAGCGAGGAATGTCAGGTTAACATATCTCTGTATATTCTACATGACACTTACCCGAGATAATTTCTTGATTGGCATATAGAACACGCTGCTAGCAAGGAATAAAACACCGTGCTACATCGGCACGCATTATCCGCGTTCAATACGTTGGGGCCCAAATAGTGGTTTCCGGAAGAGAGTGGAGGGATACCAACCAGCCTTCCTGTATGATAACAAAATCAATTGCAAGATCAATAATTGCTGCGATGACCTACCAGTCGAAGTGCATAAACTTCCCAGATAACCCGCCACTGTACAAGGATTTTGACCCATAGAATTTCGCACCTAAGGTATGCTCATTGTTCGGTTGTCGCTCCGTGATGTATGAAGACTTGGTGCTTACCCATTGCGCGTCGCTCCTGGTGCATACGGCTTGTTGGGCACTGACCATAGAAGCAATGCCAAGGAGCACCAGCAACATGGACATTTCGTTGTCTGGGCGTGTAAGGGGAGTATGGGGAAGGAACGAAAAAATACCCCCTGGCCAAGGAATAAAAAGGAAAAACAACGGCGCTCTCACGTCGTGTTTAGAAAATGGCCCCGCACACAACTAAATTTTGTCGATCACCCCGCCAATCAGGAGTCAATTGAGTTGTGTCCGTTGCAGGGTCCGAACGTTAGGCCGAATTCTGTTCAAGGCGGATTCATTTGAAAAGACTCAATATGATTCTAGTGATGCATTTGAGAGTATATATTTCCAAAGGCTGAAAAATGTTGGACACATACCACCCTTCCATTTAACATAAATAAAGAGGCATATAAAGTGAATTATTCCGGTGTTGCAGTAGGTTGCAGTCCAGTCATATGTAATTTGACAACACAGCTTTTCGATCATCGATCATTCAGGAACGACTTCAATTGTCAATTTTTACCCGCTCACCCCACGCTGCAACTAGAAACTCTAACGGGTCAGTTTGTTTGATTTTTCGCCACTACCGAATTCGTCTTTAAATGACACTTGCCTCGTATTTTGTTAACATAACATCGACAGGCGCAACTGTTCATGCACTGGTACTTTTCCTGCCCGATCACCAGAGGTCACGATGACAGCGAAGAATACTACAGTAAACGTGCTCATCGCGTCACATCGAGGATATATTGTTCTCAATGCAGGACCGCCGTGACAGTAGTACAGCCTTAACGCTGAAAAGAGAGGAATCGCCCCCGAACCTGTGAAAACTAGGACACGTAAAAAAGCTTGGCGTCCGTTTCGGCTGTTTCGCGTAGATTCTAATAAACATCCCCTTGAACTATCAACTTTGAGTATTTTCAGTAATCGAGGCGAAATGAATCGTATTAATGCACTTATTAGGCCTTGCAAACAGAGGAGTAAATTGGATGGGGGCAGTTGTTGTAGGTTGCGATGGGAAAACGCAGGGGATCCATGTCGGTGGTTCCCGCATCAATGGTACGACGTCCGCCGGTTCTCATGTGTCAGGCACCATATCACGTGGTTCGACGCGTCGCATGTTTGTTGGATTTAATGAACCTCTCCTTACCCCTTCCACTGTTCTATATGCCTCTCCACAAACAGAAATTTCCCTACACACACAATTCTGTATCAAAGCAAAAATAGAGTACACAACGGCCCAAGAAATGGCTCATCATCAACCTGTTCCCGTTCAGAGACATCAATCTTGTATCGCTCATCGCCTGCAAAGCAGTTCCGCTCTTCCTAATTCTTTTGCATGAGCATTCATATTTCAGGATTATAATGGTATCCTCAGGGACACAAATGTATTAAATGTGCTCCTTTTATAACTAGAATTATCAGTGGAACAGTAAAGGGAAGTAATAATGGCTCACGGACTTCCCTTGGTATATTCACGGATAAACGGGATTATTATTGATAAACATTGAAAAAAATCCTGAGTTGTGTTTCAGTTGGGGAGACAACTCCAACATTTGTTATATTTACCTTTCGAAGAAAGTCCAGGTACTTTGTTGCTAAAGAATGCAGAAAGGCCAGGCCGTTCGGGAAGGTCTGCTTCGTACGCAAAGAGGTATATACTGAAGCGTTCCAGGCACCTTAAAACGCCTCCAGAAAGGGATTTATCTAGGGATATCCAAGTGTCGTCGTGGAAGTCCACATCGTCATTGATTTCAACGAATATCTCTTTCATTATATTGTTTGGAGGTAGGGTTTTCAGAGAACAATCTACCCACCGCATTGAGGATGACCAAGTTCCTCCGAGATATAATTGAACGCGTCGTAATGCAAAGGCGGGTGATAAAAAGTCGAGGTGTTTTAGAGAGTGTGCTGGTTGATAACTCAATAAATGTCGGTTTGAGGACGTAGCGGACTTACACGGATGAATGCGAAGGATAAGTAATTCCAGGTCTTTGGCATAAATTAATGCTTTCCGGCATGCTTCAATATCTTCGTCAGATCTGAGTTGGCCAATATCCAGCTCACGAAGGCAAAACAAGGGATGAAATAATAGAGGGTTGAATAGACCTGTCATTACTCTATTGATTGATTGACTTGACCAAGCGTCCAAATATTGCAGTCGATTATGGAGGTTCGGGTGGTAAGAAGGAATATTTGATTCCAGAGGTGTAACTTCGGAAATATTCCCAAAACTGACGTTCGACAATTTAAGCTTTGATGGGGGGTATAGGGCGAGACTTGCTGGAAGGAGTTTCATGCCAGCCACATACAACTCCATCAAGTCAGGAGAATGGAATATGCAAAGCAGTTCGTTCTTCGTTGTAACAGAAAACTCGTCCCATTCTAGGTTTTGATATGGTTTGCATATTAGATGCAGAAGGCGGATGTGAGGAAGCATTCGAAGAATCGCAGGGAATGTTGGGTCCAAGAGAGATTTTTTATGTATTATAACCCGGATTTCCCGAACGTAGGTCCCCAGTAATGCGTTTTCTGATAGTATGTCGAGAAGAAATCGATAGCTTAGGCGACGTGGGGACCCAGCTGGGGGTTGTAAATGTATCGCAAGCGATGAATAAAGGTATCTTTGGCTGCATTCTCGAAAAGCTATGGAAACCAAAGCACAATTTTGCAGGGCTTTTCGATGATCTTGTAGTTTTCCGACGATTTCTTCGACTATGTCTTGGGGGATGGTCACTGGCATAATGACAATGGTAGGTGGTCGAATGAAGGGACCGCTGAGTCATTGATTGTTGATGTTTCTAATAATTTTCCAGCTGACTTTCAAAGTTAACCATCTTTGGACCCACCAGCCATACTTCCGAAACTGCGCATCTAAAACGCAATCAAGTTTCGATTGAGGCGAGGACCAGACTTCAATAATCAAATCCTCTAATCGTGGCCACCCTGTATTTGCTGATACATCACAGAGTATCAAGTCAAGACACACGTAAGCGGTATGTGTGATTGGTCTAGACTATTGATTAAAATTTAAATCAATGCAAACTTTGAGTATAGGGATTCTCGTGACACAACAGCAAGTACTCTCTTTGCACTAAGGCCGGGGAATGTCCCTTCCAGTATTTTCGGATGACTCGCGGGTTCCCAGTGCTGTCCTATTACAAGGGAAACAGTGCGTAACGATGGTGATGCCCAACTTGCAATCGCCAAGTCAACAACTGACCATCTATGATCGCTCAAATCGATCCCGGTACCTCGGAAGCCTGTGTCGTGGATAGCTACCTCCTCGATGTTGTTTGATGGGGAAACGCTATCTAGAAGAGCGTGCATCCAAGGGAGGGCCTCCGGCATGGACGCGTCAACCTCAAGCGTTAGTTTTCGCAGTCGAGATAGTCGACTGAGATCCATTGTTTTCGTCAACGCATTCCCTGA